CAGGGCTCCATCCATCACCAAGGCCAGCAGGAACATGGGGGTATGAAGAAGGCCTTCACTGTGTTCTATGCCCTTGGAAATTGGGGCATGAGAGGAAGGAAGCCAGAGACTTTACGGGTGGGGGAGCCTGGAGACCGGGGCGATGGAGAATCAGGGAGATGGCGAGGAAGCTAGAAGTCTGGCGGGATGGTTCTGTAGGTCTCACGGAGGGTGTGGCGAGGGACTGCAGTCCACGAGCCAGGGAAAAGCTGCGCTGCAGCGGGTGAGGAATGGGGGGCAGGATCACCCGCGGCCCGGGCGCGAGAAGGCCTTGACCACATGCGCGCAGGAGCCTTGATTTTCAGGAGCTGGCCGGGATGGCTGGCACCCGGGCCGGTGGGGTGCAGGCCTAGATGCCCGACGCCCGGGGTCAGTGGGGTGCAGGCCTGGATCCCCGGCGCTCGGGCCGGTGGGGTGCAGGCCTGGACGCACCCTGGATGCCCGGCGCCCGGGCCGGTGGGGCGCAGGCCTGGATGCCTGGCGCCCGAGGCCGGTGGGGCGCAGGCCTGGATGCCCGGCGCCCGGGCCAGTGGGGTGCATGAGTTCGGGAGTCCCGGGCTGCGTCACGCAAGGGGGCGGGCCGGGAGCCAGGGGGTGGGACCATAGAGTCGGGGGCTGGTCCGCATTCCAGCCTCGCGCTTCCGCCGCTCTCGCGAAAGGAGCGGGCGGGCGAGGGGATTCCTTCCCGAGACCCCCACCCTCCCTCCTTCACTCACCTTCCTCCCTCCCCACTGGCTGGGCCGCGGACACTGCCTCCCACAGGCGGCACGCCCTCTCGCGGTCGAAGCGCAGCCCGTCCGGTTCCCGGCCCTCCGGCTCCTCGGAGCTGAGGTATGGCTGGAGCCCTCCGCTGTCCGTGGCCTGCACCGTGCCCAACGCGGGATACTCCATCTTCCCCGCAAACCCAAATCCACCGATAGAACCTCGGCCTCGCGAGATGTGGCCGGACGGGTGCCTTTGCCCGGCTAACAAATCTCGCGAGGTTGGGAGCCGAGAACCGCGCTGCGGTTCCCGCCCTGGCGGTTCTTTTGCCTGGTAACTGCTTGGGCCTCTCGGATTCTCCGCTGCTGATGCGGACGCCGGTCAACAATTCTGCAGCGGCGCCCTCCTTTCCGGACGCCTTGGCGCAGGGTCTCACGCTGCACACGGTCAGCCTTGGACACTTACCATTTCGTTCTCATGAAGCCCCGCGATGTGGTAATATTCTCCCCGTTTCGCTGGTAGGGAAACAGGCTCAGAACCTAGAAGTGGTTTACTCGAGCTCACTACTAGTAAGTTAGTGATAGAGGAAAAGCCATCTCCGTGATTAGATACCTTTTGAGTTCCAACTGTTAGCCCCCAGCCCAGACCTCCCCTTAAACTCCTTTCCTGTCAAACTCGTAATTGTGTCGGAGCCACCATCTCTGGCCAAAGGTTACCGCTGTGGAGTTCTCTGGTCCCTTCCTTTGCTCTTCAGGTATTCTAAGCACAGCGGCCCCAGTGATCCTCTTGAAACAAGCCATATCACGACATCCAGGTGCTCCAATTCTCCAACACTTTTTTTTTTTTTTAATCCTCACCCGAGGATATTTTTCCATTGATTTTTAGGGAGAGTGGAAGAGAGAGACAGAAAGACAGAAATACTGATGTGAAACACATCAGTTGGTTGCCTCCTGCATGAGCCCCAACCAGGGCTTGGTCCGGGAAAGAGCCTGCAACCAAGGTACTTGCCCCTGACTGGAATCGAACCCGGGACCCTTTGGTCTGCAGGCCAACGCTCTATCCACTGAGCCAAACCGACTAGGGCTCTCCCAACACCTTTTTATCTCTTCAAAAAGCTAAAATCATCTGGCTGGTCTTGGTGCCTCACTTCCAGGAAGCCTCTCCGTAAGTTTCAGTTTCTAGGTCTTTTATTTTTTACTAGAGGCTTGATGCACAAAATTTGTGCACTGGGGGGTGGGGAGTGGTGGGGGGGGAGGAAGGTTCCCCTTGCCCAGCCTGCACCCTCTTGCAGTCCAGGAGCCCTTGGGGGATGTCTGACCCAGGGAGCAGGCCTAAGCCGGCTGTCAGACATCCTTAGTGCTGCCGTGGAGGCGGGAGAGGCTCCTGCCACCCCCGCGGTGCTTGCCATCCATGAGCCCAGCTTCTGGCTGAGCAGCACTCACCCTGTGGGAGTGCACTTACCACCAGGGGCAGCTCCTGTGTTGAGCGTCTGCCCACTGATGGTCAGTGCATGTAATAGCGACCAGTTGTTTTGTTCCATCGATTTGCATATTAGCCTTTTATGCCTGCGGGATCCGGCCAAAACCGGCTCTCCAGGGGTCCTGGATTGTGAGAGGGTGCAGGCCAGGCTTAGGGACCCCTCTGGTGCACGATCGGGGCTGGGGAGGGATGCAGGAGGTTGGCTAGCTGGGGAGGGACTGTGGGATGGCTCCAGGTGTCTGGCCCATCTCGCACAGTCCCAATCAGCCAGACCCCAGCAGCAAGCTAGCCTACTGGTTGGAGCATCTGCCCCCTGGTGGTCAGTGCACATCATAGGGACTGGTTGAGTGGCTTTAGCATATCATTAGCATATTATGCTTTGGTTGAACGGATGACTGGACACTTAGCATATTAGGCTTTTATTATATAGGATTTTTATTGATTTCAGAGAGGAAGGGAGAGAGAGAGAGAAAAACATTAATGATGAGAGAGAATCATTGATTGGCTGCCTCCCACATGTCCTACATTGGAGATCGAACTGCAACCTGGGCACGTGCCCTGACTGGCAATTGAACGTGAACTCCTGTTATTCCAAAAACTCAAGCCTCCAGCAGAATTCCTGTAATGGTTAGCATATCTATGGCAGGAGTTATCTGCCTAAAGGCAATGGGAAAAATGCAAGCTAGAATTAAGATAGAGTCACAGAGATTGAGCATTTCACCCCATTACAAGTGGAGGTCATTTTAGAGCAGTGGTTCTGAACCTTGGCTGCACATTAGAATCACCTTGGAATCTTTTTAAAATCCTGATTTCTGGGCCTCATCCTCCAGAAATTCTGTTTCTTTGTTACTAATGTTGTGGCCCCACCCCATAACAAAGAAATAGAATTTCTACTATATAATGGGTGATTGAAAATCCCAGGAGCTGAGGAATCAAGCAGAAGAAATGAACTGGAGTTACAAGAGGCAGATGAAAAAGTGGTTTAGCTGGATTTGGGAGGATCACTTGGAGGTAGGTGACTTGATTAAAGGTCACAAAAAAGTACTGAGACTAATGTATTGTTCCACTACCCAAGTGTTAACACTTTGCTATGTTTATTTTTAGGTTTCTTCTTTTTTTAAAAAGAAATCGTTGAGGCAGGATAGTAAGAAGCTAGGAAAATTCCTTGGCAAGTGGAATGGGGAAACTGAGACAGCTGAACAAACTGGCTGAGCAATTTACCCCCAGCTACAGGTCATCTCCCTAGAGATAACATCTAGGACTAAGTTGTATTTCAACACCAGGCCCAGAAAAGCAGCAAAACCAGGTGGGCATCGCCAGGATCAGCTGTAGTGACTAATGACCCCCCTGGTGCCAACCAATCAGTGGAGACCACGAGCCTGAAAGGGTACACCTGGAAAAGCTGATGAATATTCTGTTGAGATCCTTCCTTAAGACTGCTCCTAAACTCCCAGCCTTTAAAAAACCTCAACACGAAGGTCCCAAAATGAATGAGTTCCCCCTCCCTGGAGCATACCCCTGTCTTTCCCTCCCCGCTCTTCTTCCCCCACAAGGGTGCATCTCCTAAACTCCAGGGGTCCCCATGAGCCTTGCAAGCAGGGGAGCAATGGGCAGCAGCAGCTCCTCCCAGGCTAAAGCCCTGAACCTGTCTCCAAAGCCCCTTTTCTCTGGCTTCCCAGCGAGCCAAAGCAGCCCCACCTAGGCGCTCCTGTTGCTTTTTCTGTCAGAAGCCCTTGTGTCACGGTCCTCAGCTTTAATAAACATACTCTCAAAATCACCTGGATTAATGTTATGAAATTTTTTTTGCACGAATTCAAGGACCCACACATTATGGGCCAGCTTGAGGCAGACCCACTAAGGGCCAGGCCCCCTTTCCTGTAACATCATGACAGATCTGAAGTCCTGTTTATCCCCTCTCTCCATCCATCCTGGCTTCCACCCTTCCCCGTCTCCTGCCCTCATAACATACATAATCACATTGTGTGTCCATCTATTCATGTAGTTCATTTTCTATACACAGGTTTTCCATAATCAGGATATACTGTTATTCTGTGTACTTTTAAAAGTACCTATATTTTAGTGTAATTTGTTGGCATGTCGCCATTTCAGTAACTCATGCTGTGAGCTATCAAATGTTGCTACTTATTAGTTTCATTGTAATATTTTATCTTGGAAACATACCACATCATCCATGTCGTATTGGACATTTCTGTTATTTTTATTTATCTTTTTAGAAGGGAGCAGGCTTGAATATAAGCATGTCCTTTTGTGTACACACCTGTAGCAGTTTCTGATTGTTTTAGACATGAAATTGCTGGGTCATGCACATTTTAAATTTCACCCCCCAAAAAGTAAACCTCCTTAAAGATTATCATAAAAAAAACTTTTTTTCACCGAAGTGGCTGTTCTGACGTTACACTTCACCTGACATCCCTAAGAGTTTCCCAGATTTCCCCCTCCCTGAAATGACCAGACTGTAACATTTACCCGGAGTTTTCAAGAGGTCACGTGAGCAGATAATTTCCGTGTAACTGGATTCACGCAAAAAGGCCGGAAGAGGTTTGATTGTCAGAGGGAACTTCGAAGGGTTAACGGGAGTGTTTTGCGGGCTCGGTGCTACCCTGGTTTCCTGCAAAGGGAGGAGGTAACAGCGAACCGGCACCGGCGGGAGCTCGGCAGGCCCGACGGCTGGGTGCACCCGGTGGCGCCCCCCCCCCCCCTCCGCAGTTGGTACGTCCTGGCGGTGGCTTCCCCCGCGCGGTGCTCGTTGGTTTCGTCACCGGACGCCCGCGTGTCGGCCGGGCAGTGCCCAACTTCGCGCGCACCTCCGCTCGCCCGCCCCCAGCTCCTGACGCGGTGCGGACGCTCGTGAACCCCCGCACTGGGAGGAGGGGCTCGGCCCCGCCGCGAGGGCCGGTCGGTGAGTACCTGCCGCCTCCGCACGATCCAGTCCGCCCCCTTCCCGCCGCCTCGCCCGCACGGGGTCCGCGGCCCGCTCCTCCCGCGGCGGCACCTCTGACAAACGGGTAGGGCCCGCTCGACGCGCCGTCGGGCCGCTCGGGACACCCGAGATGGCCCTTTGGGACGCCGGCAGGCGCCTCCCCACGCGGGGTGGGCCCTTCGGCCGCCTGTGGGCTTCCGCCCCGGGGCCGGGCCCGCCCCCTCACCCCGGGGGTGCGGCCTGCGTCCTCCACGGCGTCCCCTTCGCATTTCTTGCTCCCCGCCCGCCGGCCCGTCCGCCTCCCGGAGGCGTCGTCCTCGCGCGGAAGCCGGAGGCGGCAGCGTCCCGCCCCTCCCGGAGCCGGGGTAACGGCCGCCGCCTCGTCCCTCCTGCTTTGTCGGGGAGCGAGCCTTGCATTCACTATTTTGCCAGGAAAACTAAGATTTCCCTTGGACATCCTTGTCATTTACCAGGCCCCCTGCAGCGGAACCGTTGCCGCTCTCTGTGCGAGGACAGGCAGTGCCTCCATCCTTTTCCACAAGCGCGTTTAGTTCATCTTCGCGGAACCGGCAGTTTACAGAGGAGAGCCGGCTGGAGCCCGGCGGCTGGACTCCGTGCCCTGTAGCAGCCGGGTCTTCCCGAGGTGTCGGTGACACCCAGGAGGGGTGGAGCTTTGTGCTCCCGTCTTTACTTCTTCCCGCCAGGGAGGAGGCGTTGCTGTGTCATTCAGTCAGAGAGGGTCTGTTTGGAATCAGGCACATGGGGCTTCAATGCGCAGCATAGTCAGTTACCAAGTTAACAACTGTTTGGTTTTGAATAAGTTTCCTAACGTGTAAAATAGTGATAAAAACAGCTTATAAAAATCAATAAAAGCATGTTTAATAATAATAATGACAGAAAACTCTACCTGGTGAAGGAAGTAGACATAAAAGTTCAGAAAGCACAGAGTCCCCAACAAGATGAAACCAAAGAGGCCCACACCAAGACACATCATAGTAAAAATGCAAAAGGTTAAAGACGAGAGGATCTTAAAAGCAGCAAGAGAAGAAGCAGTTAATTAGCTACTACTACTGTCAGCTGATTTCTCAACAGACACTTTGCAGGCCAGAAGGGAGTGGCCAAAAATATTCAAAGTGATGAGTAGCAAGGACCTACAACCAAGATTACCCAGCAAGCTACCGTTTATTGGGGCGTCACTAATTGGGGGTCAGATAAAGAGCTTCCCAGGCAAGAATGAGCTAAAGGAGTTCATCACCACCAAACCAGTATTACATGAACTAGTGAAGAGTATTCTTTAAGAAGAAGAAGAAGTAGAGAAAAAAGATAAAAAAATATGAATAATAAAATGGCAATAAATACGTAAATATCAACAATTGAATCTAAAAATCAAAATAAGCGATCTAATGAACAAAATAAACTGGTGAATAAAGTAGAATCAGGCATGGAAACATGGAACAGACATGAATCTCAGAGAAAGGGGGTGGGGGAGTGGGAAGAGTTTAGCCAAAGATCTTACCTATGGACACAGGAGGGTGGTGACCTGGGGCAGGGTGGGAACCAGGTGGAGGGGGGTGATGGGGGGTAGAGAAAGGTGGACATTTGTAATACTTTCAACAATAAAAATTAAAAAAAATCCTTACCCGAGGATCCTTTTATTGATTTTAGAGAGAGGAAGGTGGAGAGAGAGAGAGAAAAACATCGATGAGAGAAACAGTGATCCCAAATGGGCCCCAACCGGGGATTGAACCGTGACCTAGGTATGTGCCCTGACCTGGAACCAAACTAGCAACCTTTTGGTGTACAGGATGACGCTCCAACCTACTTGACTGCACCACTTGGCCAGGGCTCAATTTCTTGATATAATGGTTTGAAGCACAAAGTTTGTTGTTTTTTAAAATATATATTTTAAATTAATTTCAGAGAGGAAGGGGGAGAGAGAGATAGAGAAACATCAGTGATGAGAGAGAATCATTGATTGGCTGCCTCCTGAATGCCCCATACTGGGGATTGATCCCACAACCCAGGCACATGTGTCCTGACCGGGAATCGAACCGTGACCTGGTTCATAGGTTGACGCTCAACTACTGAGCCACATTGGCCGGGCAAGGTTTTTGATTTAAACAAAGCCCAGTTTCTTTATTTTTGTTGTTGCTTATGCTTTTGATGTCATAATTAACAAACCATTTCCTATTCAAGATATCAAAAATTTATGCCTATGTTTCTCTTAAGAACCTAATTCCATTTCTTGCAATTTTTTCTATATGATAGGTAGAGGTCCTGTTTCATTCTTTTGTATATGGATATCTACATTTGTTGAAAAGACTGTACTTTCTCCATTCAAGTATTTTGGCATCCTTGTTGAAAATTGACAATCTGTGGGTGTTTTCTGGATTCTCAGTTCTGTACCATCGATTTTTGTCTATCCTTGTGTCAGTGTGCCAGTGTCTTGGTAACTAGCTTTGTGGTAAGATTTTTTAAAAAAATATTTTTTAAAATTGATTTTTGAGAGAAAGGGAGAGGGAGAGAGAGAAACATTAATGATGAGAGAGTCATTGATTGGCTGCTTCTTGCACACCCCCTACTGGGGATCGAGCCCACAACCCGGCACGTGCCCTTGACTGGAATTGAACCCGGGACCCTTCAGTCCATAAGCTGACACTCTATCCACTGAGCCAAACCAGCTAGGGCTGTGGTAAATTTTGAAATAGAGATGTGGTTCCTTAAAATTATTTCACTTTTTTCAAGATTGTTTTGCCTATTCTGGGACCCTCTGTTTCCGTGTGAATTTTAGGATCAGCTTGTCTGTTTCCCCCAAAAAGTCAACAGGGATTTTAAAGTTTCCATTTGCAAATCTTCTACTTCCTTCATTAAATTTATTCCTAAGCTGTTAGAACTTGAATTTTTCAAATTTCATTTTTGGATTGTTCATTGCTAGTGTTTTTTTGTATATTGACCTTGTATTGTATAATCTTGCTGAACTTGTTCATTATAGTATTTTGTGGATTTTTAAAAAATTATAAGATTATGTCCTTTTCAGCTTGGGTGTGTTTTATTTCTTCTTGCATAATTGATCTGCCTAGAATTTTCAGTATACAGTTCAATAGAAAGGATGAAAACAGACATTCTTGTGTTATTCCTATCTTAAGGAGAAAGCATTCAGTCTTTTATCTTTAAGTATGATATTACTGTTGGTTTTTTTTGAGATATATTTTTATCAGGTTGAGGCATTGATATTAAAAATCTTTTTAGATAAATTATAATATGCAGTCAAGAAAACCAGTGATCTAAGTCAATGTTTAAGGAACTAAGATAATTTGTTGTATTATTCCTATTAAAATTTCATTAAAGAGTAGTGGAAAAGTTTAGATACCCAGTTTTACTCCTATTAGATGAGCATCTTTTTCTTTTATATGATTAAATTACAAATAGCATCTAGAAAACATACTTTTAAAAATATGTATATTTTTATTGATTTCAGAGAGGATGGGAGAGGAAGAGATAGAAACATCAATGATGACAGAGAATCATTGATCAGCTGCCTTCTGCACACCCCCTACTGGGGATGGAGCCCACATCCTGGGCATGTGCCCTTGACCAGAATTGAACCCGGGACCCTTCAGTCCACAGGCCGACACTGTCCACTGAGCCAAACCAGCTAGGGCTAGAAAACTTATACTTTGAATGAATTATTTGTCCGTGTATTTCAGACAGAAGGATGCCACGGAGAAAGAAAAAAGTTAAAGAAGCGTCTGAAGCTCAGAACTTGGAGAAGAAAGATGCAGAAACTTCCAGTCCTGTCAATGTGAGGAGGAAGCGTAAACTGGAGGATGCGTTCATTGTGATATCTGATAGTGATGGAGAGGTTAGTATTTTGAAGTGTGAAGCTCTAGGTCTCAAACTAGGCTTTCTTACCCAAGACTGGTTTGTGTTGTGACTAAACCTTAATGCCAGCTTGCCAGACCTTGCAATTTTTACTCCGTTTCATTTTGATCATGTTATTTGAGTTCTTGCAGTAGACTCTGGACTTGCTTCTGTGCCTTCAGCTTTTTCTCTCTACATTTCACTTAGCTTACTCCAACTTTAAGATTTCAGATTTTATATTTTTGTACTTGATTGCTTAAAAATTTGTGACTGTAATACCTATAAGATCAGTTTAGAACTTTAATATGGTTTACTCTATCAGAACCTTTACAGTCTAGTCTTACTTATATTCTTATCAGCTGTTCATTTCTTGTCCCCTTGCTAAGACTATTATCACTATTAAAATTTTCCCTATTTGATGATCAAAAAGTTAAATATTTTTAATCAGAAAGATTGAGAATTTTTTCCTAACTCTATTGGATATATATTTTTAAAATTTCCTCATAGTACAGTTTTTAATTAGGGTTTTGTCAAATAGTTATTTTTTTTTCTTTTTAAATATATTTTATTGATTTTTTACAGAGGAAGGGAGAGAGACAGAGAGTTAGAAACATCAATGAGAGAGAAACATCGATCAGCTGCCTCCTGCACATCTCCCACTGGGGATGTGCCCGCAACCCAGGTACATGCCCTTGCCCGGAATCGAACCTGGGACCCTTCAGTCTGCAGGCCGACGCTCTATCCACTGAGCCAAACCGGTTTTGGCAATAGTTATTTTTTAAAGATGTAAAAGTATAAAGAAGAAAACAAAGCAACCCATCAACTCTACCACACACAGATATAGAATTTCTAAAAAGTTACATAATGCTAAATCAAAACAGAATAAAAACTGTTTGAAAACAAAACAGTATAGAAAGGTATGGAATGAAGATGTATACCTTAGTCAGTGTATGTTTCTTGTGTTCTTCCAGGAAAAAAAACAACCTCATGCATATACCATCAATAAAAACTTTTATAGAATAGAAATCATGCTACACAGATTGTTTTGCTTTTTCCACTTAACATTTCTTGGGAGATCTTTCTGTAATAGCACGTATAGCTCTATCTCATTAAAATTTTTAAAAATTGTCAGATATGTCACACATGTAGGAGAGTGGCATAAAATGTAAATGCATAGTTAAAAAAATAATCTGAGCACCTGTATTCACCATCTTAGAAGCCCTCTTGATTTAGTGTGACCCTCCCCAGTTGCATCCCTTTTCACCCTTGTAAAGGTAACCACTGTATTTGTTTTATCTTTCCATGCTTTCCCTTACGATTCTACCATATTTATATTTATGTCTAAACAGTATACATATATATGTTGCAAAACTGAGTCTTAGTGGTTAGGCACTTCTGCCAACATTTTTCTATAATCTACCTTTTCCCAAAGATTTGAAATTTTATCTTTATTATAAATTAAAATCTTGCCTATACATTTTTTTTTTTTTTTTTTAGATTTTAAAATTTTGTTCCATTGATCTGTCACATATTTTTGGAATAACTGTTCAGGCATTATTTTGGGTTATTTAGGTAGGCACTTGGATCTGCTAATAATGACCATTTTCTTTCTTCCTTTCTAGTACTTACAGCTAATTTTTTTGTTTCATTGCATTGACTGTAGCCTCCAAAATAATGTTAATTGTTATCAGTGATAGAGCACATCTTTGTTTTGAATTTAATTGTGGAAGTATTCTGATGTTTTGTTATTTGTTTCTTATTTCTATATTTATTATAGAAATATCCTTTAATTGCTTATTTTCTATTAGTATTTTTAGGAATGGATGTTTAATCAAATGCCTTTTCATTATTTAGCAAGATGATGGCATAGTTTTCCTCCTTTAATCAATTAATATATAGTTCATTAATACATTGTCTAATGTTGGAACATTTTTGCATTTCTGGAGAAAAAATTTTACTTAGTCATGATGTATTACATTAACATAATATAGAATTTACTTTTTCATATGAGTTTTGCATTTGTATTCCTAGTGGCATTGAGTTTTATATAATTGTCTTTTTTTTTTTTTTACTATTTCAGATATTAGTTTCCGATTTCTGCTATAATATAGAAAGGAAGCTTTTTATTGTTTTTTTATGTCCTACCGCAGTTTAGATAATAAAGGAATGATCTGTTCTTTAAGATTTACTAGCACTTGCTCATAAAACTGTCCTACCAACTAATTTTTAATATACTCTTCATGTTCTTTTCATGTCTTGGTATTTTTGTGGATTTTTTAAAGACTTTTTTGTTTTGTTTTAGAATGTAAATGAGTAAATGGTATAGTCATCCAGGAATACACTTATTTGGTCTTGAAAGTTGAAAATTGAATTAATGATTTGATACTTCTTTTGCTCTTTGTACTACTGACAGTGCTAATTCCAATTTGTTCTTCAGTTTAGATATTAATTCCTTTGGGAATCCTTGCAGATTTTCCAAGACTGGGTCAATTGGCCATCTGTTGTGCTTCCATAGAACCTATGCTTACTTCTGTAGTATTAGTTGTTATACTGTTTTGAAATTGCCATTGTGCTTTTTTTTTTTTTTTTTCTTTTTTCTTTTTTCTTTATTGATATCCTGGTTATTATTCCATTGATTTCTTTTTTTTTCTTTTTTTTTAATTTAATTAAATCTTTATTGTTCAGATTATTACATTTGTTCCTCTTTTTTCCCCCCCATAACTCCCCTCCTCCCAGTTCCCGCCCCACCCTCCGCCCTCACTCCCCACCCACTGTCCTCATCCATAGGTGCACAATTTTTGTCCAGTCTCTTCCCGCATCTCCCACACCCCTTTCCCCCCCAAGAATGGTCAGTCCATTCCCTTTCTATGTCCCTGATTCTATTATAATCACCAGTTCATTCTGTTCATCAGATTATTTATTCACTTGATTCTTAGATTCACTTGTTGATAGATGCATATTTGTTGTTCATAATTTGTATCTTTACCTTTTTCTTCCTCTTCCTCTTCCTCTTCTTAAAGGATACCTTTCAGCATTTCATATAATCCTGGTTTGGTGGTGATGAACTCCTTTAGCTTTTCCTTATCTGTGAAGCTCTTTATCTGACCTTCAATTCTGAATGATAGCTTTGCTGGATAAAGTAATCTTGGTTGTAGGTTCTTGGTATTCATCACTTTGAATATTTCTTGCCACTCCCTTCTGGCCTGCAAAGTTTCTGTTGAGAAATCAGCTGACAGTCGTATGGGTATTCCCTTGTAGGTAACTGAGTTTCTTTCTCTTGCTGTTTTTAAGATTCTCTCTTTATCTTTTGCTCTTGGCATTTTAATTATGATGTGTCTTGGTGTGGTCCTCTTTGGATTCCTTTTGTTTGGGGTTCTCCGCGCTTCTTGGACCTGTAAGTCCATTTCTTTCACCAGGTGGGGGAAGTTTTCTGTCATTATTTCTTCAAATAGGTTTTCAATATCTTGCTCTCTCTCATCTTCTGGCACCCCTATAATTCTGATGTTGGTACGCTTGAAGCTGTCCCAGAGGCTCCTTACACTATCCTCGCATGTTTGGATTCTTTTTTCATTTTGCTTTTCCGGTTGGGTGTTTTTTGCTTCCTCGCATTTCAAATCATTGACTTGATTCTTGCGCTCCTCTGGTCTGCTGTCGGGAGTCTGTATAATATTCGTTATTTCAGTCCGTGTATGCTTAATTTCTAGTTGGTTCCCCAATATAAGATCGAGGGTCTCATTAGTTTTCTTGTAGATCTCATTAAGTTTATCGGCGGCTTCTAAACAGTTCTTGAGAGACCTTAAAAGTGTGGTTCTGAACTCTATATCTTCCATTGACAATTTTGTCCTGTTTCTTTGTCTCCGCATTTTGTTATGCTTCCTTGGTGCACCCCCTAGTGGTCTTTGTGCGCAGTCTTATAGTTAAACCTTGATTGTTGTAGCTAATACCAGGGAGGGTTTGACCTCCAGGCCAAGTGGCTATGAGAATCAGCTGTGTCAGCAGTGACAGAACTTCTGTCCTCTAGGGAGGTGCTAATCTGGCGTTTGCCTGAGGCTATCCGGCAAATGCCTCTGTGCAGGGCTTGGGCGGGGCGGGTCGCACAGGATCAACAGGGTGGGCCGGAGAGAGCAGTTATGGCGGCTCTCAGTCCTGTCCCCAGGGGCTCTGCCTCGCTGAGTCCCAGCACCCGCTGCAAAGCTCGGAGAGAAAGCTGCACTCGCTCTGACCGAAGCCAGACAGTCCCGCTTCTCCTGTTTGAGTCTGGGTCCCTAAAGACTCGCCCGTATCTGGAGCTCAGAGTCTGCGACTCCCTCCCGATTGAAAACGCCAACCGCGCCCTCCGCCGCCAGCCCGCTCCGCGCACTCCGCACCTCAGAATTTGACTTCAGCACTGCGCCTCCTCTGAGTGTCCGTATGCGTTTCTCTTTCCTCCTAGTTGTAGGACTTCCACTCAGCCAGCGTTCCTGTGGTTCTGGGTGATGTCCGTTCCGTTTTTTATTTTCACTTTTGAAGTAGTTGTTCAAGGCAGCAAACTCCGGCGTTAACCTATGCCGCCATCTTGGTTCTCCCTCCATTGTGCTTTTCTGCCTTCATCACTGGACCATGATTTCCTAGAGGGCAGGAATTCTTTATCTGTAACATTTAACATTTATCTGTAACACTTTTTTTTTTTTTCTTTTTTTTTTTCTCAGTTGTTTTTATTATTTTTATTTTTTTTTTATTAAATCTTTATTGTTCAGATTATTACATTTGTTCCTTTTTTCCCCCCCATAACTCCCCTCCTCCCAGTTCCCGCCCCACCCTCCGCCCTCACTCCCCACCCACTGTCCTCATCCATAGGTGCACGATTTTTGTCCAGTCTCTTCCCGCATCTCCCACACCCCTTTTCCCCCCAGGAATAGTCAGTCCATTCCCTTTCTATGTCCCTGATTCTATTATAATCAACAGTTCATTCTGCTCATCAGATTATTTATTCACTTGATTCTTAGATTCACTTGTTGATAG